AATATTAAGCTCGCCACTCCAAGTACGCTTACTCGGAAGTAAAGCCGCACGTGCTTTCGTGCGGGATCGCAGGCTTCAAAGGTCTTAAACGTTGGCAGATCTTCAGTGACTCGTTTCTGCCGGGTTGTCCGGCTTCCTTTGAGTGAGTTGCAATTGGGGGGGGGGGACAAAGCCTTGCACATTTTTTCAAACCCCGGCTTGCCAAATCGAGGAAGGCAGAAAAGTTCAAATCCTAAAGGATGGCTCAGTGGGGAGTAGCAAGGCTTGGTGGCCCTTGTCTGAAGCCGGCCAGAGCGGCTGGGGAAACCCAGCCACATGGGCGGGGTATAAAAATATTATTTTTTTATTATTGAAATGGACAGCCTCGTTCAGCTCGCGCTTTCTTGATTTAGTGCGCCCGTCCTTTGATGTAAGAGGAGATTAAGGCGATGGGAAGGAACCAGAGCAAGCAACAGAAGAAACGGGGGAATAGGTTTGTTTTCTATTAAATAAACCTCAGAAACATTTCAAACACGAACACAATGCATTGTAATCCCTGCCCTTTCTAATCCCCTTTGTTGTTTCCCTCTAAAAAGCTGGTCGTTGCGAAAACTCTATAATTAAGAAACAAGTTTGCTTTCCCCTCCTCCTCCTCTCTCCCCGTCCCTTTTTCCTTTTGTGCTGTGTCAGTTAGATTCTATACCTGCTGACAGGGGGAAACTGTTTTATGACTGCTTTATTAGCTGTTTTATTAGCTGCTCAGGAAGCCTCTGCTGAAAACGGGGCTAAAAATGATTGGGGATATGATAAAATAGAACAAAACAACCCGTCTCACTCACGTTCGAACAGCTTTTAATGTGAAAATATTAGTCGAAATTCAGTCTCGGGATTTCCCCCTGTGCAAAACTCCTATATCCGTGTTTGCGTGAGCATCCTTACTTTCAAGGGCAATTACTAGCTCCTACACACGTGCGCGCACAGTCTCCTGTCGCTTTAACCACCATGCAACCGTCTGCATGCAAACAGAAGCTGAGACTGATCTGCTTTCCTGGACTCTGGGAGTTGAGGACCACAACTCGCATTATTCCTGACCATTATCCGGGCTGGCTGAGGCTGACCAGGAGCTCAACAGCAAGGCACAGGTTGAGGAAGAGATGGGGCAAACTTAACCTACTGATTCTTCTGCTAAAGGTGTGGAGCTCTAGAGAAAGGCTGTAACCCTCACGCCCCCTCTCTCTCCCCATTTCCAAATTACTCTGGACGACCCTGAAGAGACCTACTTAGAGATAATTCCCATTAAAATGGATAGGACCTGCGAGTTCAAGCGCAGATGGGAAAGCAGAACTTTTTGGAACAACGCTTCCCCGGGGGCGCCACGCCATTTCAGATCGCCTAAAATTTACCCAACTTTTCACTGGTTTAAAAACGGCTCTCTCGACTAACTATGCGACGTGAGAAACGCGTTGTCCGTTTCAGCATCTTCTAAAAAGAAAATAAACGGCAGCGACTGTAGGTCCCCCTCCCATCCCAGTTTCAACGAGACTTGCGCGCGTCTCGCACTTAACCCAACTCTCCATGCTCATTAGTGGTCCTCCGTTATTTATTTATTTGCATTTTAATGATAAATCCTGCTGCTTAATCCTATAATCTGTTTTGTTTCACCAATTGGATTCGTAGCAATAAGTAGAACGGAAAAGGGGGGGCGAAGCGATTTAAAACAGACAAACTAAAGTCTTTGAAACCTTCTTTCTGTGCGAAAAAAAATTCGGAAGGGGCTGAGAAGGAAGTTGGGGGGCATGGTAAAGAAAACCTAAAAAGTATGAACAACGCGGAACTCGATCCAAATACACTCCGAAAGTTGAGGGCGCGATCCAGCCGAAGTTATGCACGTTCCGTTCCCGTTAATTTCAACAGGACAGTAAAGCTTTCAGCACCTTCAGTGCACTGCGAAATCAGAGACTACATAAATTTGGCTAGAACCTCTGCTTTCTTCCTGTCGCCTTTAATGATTCTTTGGAGTTCTTTTTTTTAAAGTATCCCATTATATATATATTTGCAAACCAAAACCTGGTAGGGAACGCAGGTTTTAGAAACCTTCTCCGCACCCAGAAATTCTAACCATTCCACATAAAAGGCTATATTTTAACTCCACGGTCCCTGTCCAATATTTAGCCTCCTTCTGGGAAGAGCATTCCTTCCATATGCAAGGAAAGCAGGGTTTCACGCCTTCCCGCCCCCTATAAATGCACCTATTGCTCGCTGTTGAAGTAAAGAGGGAATGTCCCAGGACAGTCCTCAACCCTTGCAAAAATTCCACCATTGCTCACATGCCCCCTTTTGCTCCTGCAGTTAAACGAGGGATGTCCCCAGTTGTCATTAAGTTCTCCAAAAAACAATGAAGTCATGATGTGGTGTTTTGTTTTTTGCGGGGGAGGAAATAACCCCACCAGGCAAGGGATTAGGAGAATACCACAATCAGTATCTCCAGGGTACAATTGAGAATAATGAAGAAGAGAAAGGAAGACAAGGAGGAGAGAGGAGAGAAAAAAAATCCATTTTAATTTCCTGTTCCCTGGGGGGTGCCTAACCTCCTCACAGTCTGCAATGAGAGGGAGGCTGAGAGAGGCTGCAAAACGGATCACCTATATCAGTCTTTGCCAACCTGGTGCCCTCCACATGTTTTGGACTACACATCAGCACATACTGGTGGGGAGGAGGGGCTGTGGGGAGTCTAAAACATATGGAGGGTGCTAGGTTGGCAAAGACTGACCTATCTTAGAAGATATCCTGCTTTATCACTACCCGAAGGAGTCTCAAAGCGGCTAACAATCTCCTTTCCCTTCCTTCCTTCCCCACAACAAACACTCTGTGAGGTGAGTGAGGCTGAGAGACTTCAGAGAAGTGTGAGTAGCCCAAGGTCACCCAGCAGCTGCATGTGGAGGAGCAGGGAATTGAACCTGGTTCACCAGATTATGAGTCTACCGCTCTTAACCACTACACCACACTGGCTCTCTAGAAATTATCCCTGGAATAATTTACCCCCTCCCCTGAGTCAATACTAAACGAACAAGGCAGAACAGGGGGGAAACAGTCCAGGGAAGATCAGAAAAGTGCTTACACCTCTGCTGCAGGAATATGTCCAAGTGATTTTGAATTTGGCAGGCTCAATGATTACGGAAGGTAAGCAGGTAGTGTCTTTGTGGCACAGTGATATCCAAACCATATTTCACCAGACATCACCTTATTTCCATATTAACAAAATTCTGGACTCCAAGGGCCCTTTTCATTCATTGGCCTGGATTTTGATACCAAACATCTCATATATATAACCCCCGAAGTGCTGTAAAACTAATTGAAGGTGATGGTGTTAACAATCAAAACCCTAAGATTTTGGGACCAAGCAATCTGAAGGACTGCCTGCATTAATGTGTGATTGCCCCAGAACCAGATGCCCTGCCCTCTGGTCCAACACTGAGAGCCAGTGACTATCGGGTACAGGGCCTTTTCTGCAGGGGCCCTGCATCTCTGAAGGAACTCCAGACACCTCCAGCCCAGTTGGTTTCTGGATGATTTAATAGCTGTTTAATATGCTGTGTTATTTTTATCAGTTGAAATAGTTGCTGCTGCTGTTTTAAATGCTGTTTTTGTTACTTTTGTGCAATCTTATCTCAGGTCACATCCGCATCAAACATTTGAAAGCACAAGGATGCTTTAGCTGAGATTCATGCACTGCAGGGGTTGGACTAGATGACCCTTGGGGTCCCTTCTAGATCTACAATTTGCTCTTTTACCACTTTTCAGTACCCATGATTGTTCGTTTGTTAAAGGTGCTGGGAATTGTAGGTCTGTAAGATTGGTACTATGAACAAAGTATTATTATTGTTGTTGTCATTTTAAAAAAAAAAGAACTCAAAGAAACTTACAAACCACTGCAAACAAAAATAACACATCCACGTGATGCTGATGCAAAAACTATGCACAGACTTAGCAAAAGAATGAGATATCATTTTCTCCCCCCCCCGCCCCACTCCCTACTTCTCTCTCCCACCAACCACCAATGTAGAAAGGACTCTATGAATTGAAAACAAGAGTCATATGTACTTTTGTTATCCATGATGAAAATCTTTCAATGAAAACAATTTTTTAAAGAAGCAACTTACACACAAAAAATACAAGAGAGACATTGCACACTTTTGTAAATCAAGAAAATCTTTAATAAAAATAAATAAATAAAAGAAGCAACTTACAAAAAAACAATTCCCAGAATTCTTTGGGGGACGCCATGATTGTTAAAGTGTGCTTTAAATGTGTGTCGTGGATGTGGGAACATTGTTTTACTGCCTATTGTAAACCACCTTTGGGAGGGTAATATATCCCGAAAGGCAGGTTTTCAAATCCATTAAATAAACAAATAATTTCCAAATAGTGGTTTGTAAACTAGTCCTCAGTGAGGTGGAAAATCCCAAGTCGAGGCTGTATCACTTGAGTCTGTACCACATGGCTGAGAACAAGGACATGGATCATATTCAGCCCATGCATAAAACTGTGTTGAGCCTGCAACTGTTTCTCATGAATTCCCAAAATCTTAAAAATTAGGATGACAAAGCAACTGTTTTTATTAGACATGAAGATGACACATGATCAAGAAGGAAGCTTTTTGAATAGCCTAAAAAGCAGGAAGAAACCATTAACCAAGGACCCCTCTAGTAATGTTGGACTCTTGCAGCTGAGTATGCACTCTGCTTCCATTAAAATAAGTACTGTACTGTAAATGAAAAATACTTTTTTCAGGGGGGGGGGTTCCTGCACACTGCAGATCCTCTGTACCAAGAAAGAAGCCCATTACTGTAGAGATGAAGAAGAGCACGTGACATTACCTTTGCAATTGGAGCGACGTGAGACACTTGGGTAAACGCGAGGAACGCGTTAAGCCAGCAAAATTTTCATGTGAACCTGGGTTGGCCCATCCACACATTCCACCACTGCAAACTTACATGATTTGCTGTCCTTCAGTCGACAAAGGAACAGCAGCCAATCCCAACCCTCTCTGAATCTGGACTGGAGGAATCTACTCAAAAACACCTGGGTGCCAAATGGGGCGCATCACTTGCCCAGGGAAGTGAGGGAAGGAGGCGACACCCCGGGATTGGACCGGGTCTGTATAATATATATTTTTTCTCCGGCTGGTGCAGAGTTCGCTCTCCTCTCCTCAAAATTACCTTCGGCAAAGTTTGTCAGGACTTATTGAGGCCTTGGCGCGCGTTTTGGCCCTTGCTGCGCTTGAGTCGACGACGCCACCTCCTTTTTTCCCCTCCGAAGGCGCGGACGCCTTTGAGAAGACACGGCCAAAACAACGACGCCAGAGCCAAGGGGGCAGGCAGGAATTAACTGCTTAGCTCGGTAACTTAGCAAGCCAGTCAGTCCATGCTTGAGGTGGAGGAGCCCAAATTATCATGGCCACAAAACCCGATTATAATAATAATAAACTCTGCAACCCAGACAAAACATTTATCTCCTCGCCGCTCTGCCACAAGGACCCGCGTGGTCAGGATTCATGGCGACCCTCCGATTCTGTGGAGAATTGTCTTTCCTCATGCGTGCGTGAGAGAAAAAGAGAAGGAAAGGTGGAACCGCACTTCGGACACTTTAATAAAGACTAGTTAAACTCTGGCAAGGGCTTGCAGCGCCATCTTGGATCGCGACTGCTCAGAAAGCAAGAGCTACAGATTCCTGGACTCAATCGAGCTCAGCTTCCTCCCGTTAGTTCTTAATCTTGCTCCGGAGTTGGAGAGGCTGCTTGGCTCCTGGGCTTGCTAACCGAGCTTGACTTCACGAGAGTGCAGGTTTGTGTGCGCGCCAGCGCGTATTTTGGGCCCCAGGGCTTTTTGGTTTTGCTGCCTGTCGGAGGAGAAAAACCCAAAACAAGGGTTTAGGCAGGACGCAGGAGCGGCCTCACAAACTAGTGGGAGACATTGCCCTCGTCCAGGGGTTTCCAAACTTGGGTCGCCAGCTGCTTTCGGACTACAATTCCCATCATCCCTGACCATTGGTCTTGCTAGCTAGGGATGATGGGAGTTGTAGTCCAAAAGCAGCGGAGACCCAAATTTGGGAAACCATGTGTGTGTGTTTTGCAAATCGTTCGTTAGGATCATCCAGATCAGCCCCCCTTCTTCATTTTCCTTTCTCCAGCTTCTTTTTTTCTGGCACCGGGGCTGCCTGGCTCAGTTTCCTCCTTGCTAGTAGGCCAACGCTGGTGCAGCTTATCCTACAAGAGGTTACTCGAAAGGACGCCCCTTCCACTTCAGTGGGACTTACCCCCAAGCGTTCATAAGATCGAGACTTAAAAACAGCCGGTTTTTAAAATGGGGGGAGGAAAGGAGGCGATGTGGCCGACGTCCTTTGGAAGGCTACACCCTCCTTCGTTAAAGCCCCACCTCTTACGCTAAATGTCTCTAGGGATTGGTCCCTCAGAGCTGAAAGCGCTCTGTGCATGCCCAGGAGCATTCAACTGCAGATCACTAAGAACAGGTTCATGGTGCTCACATTCAGCGTTGTTTCCCTAACACGTGTGCGTGTGTGTGTTTTTAGGGCGGGGGAGCCACTTTAAATTTAATCAGTCGACAGGCTCAATGACTCCTCCCCCCGCAAGTGTTTTCTATTTACCCGTTTAAGCAAACAGAGCAGCTTTCCCGGAGCGCCCGTCTTAAGCGCAGCTTGTAGGTCATGAAAAGGTTGGGGCCCGGTTTGCAACTCCGCATTCTGCTAATTTCTTAAGGAACACTCTTTGCGGGGCCCCCGCACAAAAGGCGATGATTTAATGAGGAGGAGAAACAAACTGGCTGATTGTTGGCGCTCGCAACTTCCTCGGGAGTCCCCCTGGCAGCCACAAGCTGATCTCTGCGCCTTCAATGCGGCTCGCCTTCGGGAGGAGAGGCCGGCCTGAATAGAGGACAAAGGCGGCTTGTTCTGTTTATTTACCCTCCCTACAAGCTGGGTTAACCTCTCCCAAACAGCCCAGGCTAAGCCCGTTAGCCGCACAGCCCAGATGACCCGCTGCAGAATCGCCACTGTCATGCAAACGAGCCTCCTCGGGCCCCGACGAGAAGATCCACCAGCTCCACCCTCTCCCCAAGCAAGCTGGAGGCGGGGCACCCAGGGGTGGGACTGCGGGTAAGTCCATAGCCCTTTCCCACGTACTTGAGAGAGAGCACATTCCATCTATTGGGGAAGAAACGATGGTTGCCTTATTGGGGAGAAGGTGTGGCAGGTCCCAGGGTTCATCCCCAGGTGGGAAAGACTGAAAACCTGGAGGGAGTTGCTGCAAGTTAGTGGATACAATGGTAGCCTGCTTCCTGAGTTTCTACTGTTTTAGGGGAAGGTCTTAGGTCAGCGGTGGACCATTTGCTTTTACACCCCAAAGTCCCCAGGTTCAAATCTCCAAACCCATCCACCTACAACTCTGGGAAGGTTAAAAGAGATAATCTGAGTACTGAAGTATGTTCAGGGTCCCAGCCACAACACTATTTTAATCCTAAAATTGTAGAATTGAAAAGGTACCCCCTAGGGTCATCTAGTCCAACCCCCTGCAATCTTGCTTACTACTAAAGACAGTGAGGTTTTCTTCTTAATGTCCCACAGAGGAACTTACGGTCTTCAAACAAAAACATCCTGAAGGTCCCAGGCCACAGAGAGGTTAGGCTGGCCTCAACCAGAGCCAGGGCTTTTTCGGCTCTGGCTCCGATCTGGTGGAACGCTCTGTCACAAGAGACTAGGGCCCTGCGGGACTTGACATCTTTCCGCAGGGCCTGCAAGACAGAGCTGTTCCACCAGGCCTTTGGCCAGGGCACAACCTGACTCCCTCCTTTGGCAATCTTCACAGAACTTTAGCCTAATGGTTGCCATCAATTTGAGTTGAATTAATTTTAATGAAATTATTTTAGAATGTTGTATTATTTTATTGTTGTTAGCCGCCCTGAGCCCGGCTTCGGCTGGGGAGGGCGGGATATAAATAAAATTTATTATTATTATTATTATTATTATTATTATTATTATTTATTAATGAGCGTGTTTAAGCTTCTGGCTTTAAATAGGTCTGCCCTTAAAACACTTTGAACTTGCCCCTTTTTATTTAGATGATGCTTAGAGAAGCAAAGGTTTGTCAACGCCTCCAGCTCAAATGCTCTTAAAAGAGGACTCTTGACTGCATGAAAGATAGCCTGGATGGAGGCTAGAGAGGAAGGTGTGAATAAATTAGCACTTGTGGCTCCACCCACTTTTACTTTCCCCGCCCACCACTGCCCTGTGGTCTCTGGAAGGCTGCCTACAAAGGAAAGTGGCCGTGGGTTGGAGAAGGTTCCCTGCCCCGGCGTCATAGTTGGGCTCTTGCGTGGGTTGTCTGGCCAAGCAGCAAGGCAATGTGACATGCTTCAGGCCAGGCCATCAGAGTGGGGCTAGATGAAGGCAGTAACTGGTGCATGAATGGCCTAGCGAGTCTGTTTAAAAGTGTTGGTCCTAGCAAAGGTGTGCTTCAGCTCTGACTGCAGTAGCAAAATGCCTCAGGCTGGCCCTGAACTCTTGGCCTGGTTCTATCTGGCATTGGAGGGGAGGGCCATATGTAGCTCTGGTGGTGGTGATCTGCCTTGGGAGGCAATGGAGGAGTGCGCCTTTGCGGGTGGAATCAGGCTGTTGGATGGTAGAGACCGACATGGGAGAGACATGTTTTGTCGCAGCTGGGGCAGATGAAGGCGTCCGGTTGTGCTGCTGCAGATGCACCATGGCCTGCCTTCTCCTCACTCCTCCCAGTGGTCATTCCTCCTCTGGTCACTGCTGTGGATGCTCGACCTGACTGCCAGTCTCCAGGCACTGCAGTCGTCTGCAAAGCATTTCCACATGGCAGGGTTGATGTTGCCAGCCTTTGTGTCACGTTCAGTGTTCAAAATTAGCCAGATGCGTTTTGCACCTGGCTTTCGACCACTTGCAACCAGGTGTAGATGCCTGGGTACCAGGATGGTGCCTGACATATTCACCACCTGGGGATCTGGACTGTGTTCACACACCAATACTCCATCCTATAGAATTCTATCTGTTATATTTTATCTGCATAATCAGAATGAAGTTCTGGTACCAAATTCCTTTTTCTGTGCAGCCTGAGCAGGAGCAATCACCATTAAGAAAGAGGTTGGAATAGGCCAATATATATGTGGACTGTCCCTGGATCGTTACTTTTCTCCTTTAACTTCTCAAAGATCTTAACCTAGCTTATGGGCATAGACAGGATTCATGTTGGGGGGTGGGGCAGAACCAAGCAATGTGTTTGGTTATTTATTTTTATATACCATATTTTTTGCTCTATAAGACTCACTATTTCTCTCCTAAAAAGTAAGGGGAAATGTGTGTGCGTCTTATGGAGCGAATGCAGGCTGTGCAGCTATCCCAGAAGCCAGGAACAGCAAGAGGGATCGCTGCTTTCGCTGCACAGTGATCCCTCTTGCTGTTCTGGCTTCTGGGATTCAGAATATTTTTTTCTTATTTTCCTCCTCCAAAAACTAGGTGCGTCTTATGGTCTGGTGCGTCTTATAGAGCGAAAAATACAGTATTTGATTTGGAGGAAGACAGCTGCCCATGACCTAGCTCAAGGTTGTCCTCTGAACTAGCCAGATGTTTAACCGTGAATCAATCACAGTCAGTCCATTGTTTGAAATGCTCCTCAATTTCAGCTCTGTTAAATCTGGTAGCAGGGCTGGGATGGGGTTCTGCCCCAGGCTAAAGGTACTGCCTGTGAGAGCACATACTACTGGACTAGATTTAGGATGGGAAACACCTGGCACTCCAGATGTTGCTGGCCTGTAACGCACATCGTCCCTGACCCACTGGCCATGTTGGGGGCTGATGGGAGCTGGGGCACCACAATATCTGCAGGCCACAGGTTCCCTACTCCCAGCCAAGGTGGATCAAGGATCTGATAGTAGTCAGGCAGTCTCATGTGTTATGCTTCTAGATCTTTAATCTCTCTTTCCACAAAATGTTTCTGAGTACATACACAAGGTCACACACTGCTACCATGGATTAATCAATATCGAGCAATTACCACCCTTAGTTCTCTACTCCCAATTGTTTATGCATTTCGGAATCTGCCCTTGCCAATAAACTTTAATGGAAAAGCAGACCAAAGAACTGTTTCCCCACAAGGTTTGGGAGGTACTGCAGTCTGGCTATCTGAAGGGGCTTAAGTGGTATGAAAGTTTGGAAAAAGCTACTGAGCCCTAGTTTTCAGAAAGCTAGGAAAAAGAGCCTACCAACCATTGGAACTTTTGAGATTCAGCTGCTCTTTACTTTTGCGGGAATTGTGAAAGCAAAGCAGGAGATGTTGAGGGAAACCTGATGGTTTGACTTAACAGGCAGAATAGTTATCTTTAAAGGCTGATTTAAAAAACCTTTCCCCATGTACATTATTAGAGAGCGAATTGCTTGCCATGTACGGATCATGCAATGACTTGAGTTGCTCAATGTGTATCTGTCGCGGCAGAATGGTGAAAATGTGCTGCTTCCAGGTCTGATGAGAGGCAAATATGGGGCAGTTCCTGCTCAGTGTTCAAAATTAGCCAGGCACCAGATGCATTTTGAACCTGGCTATTGGCCACTTGAGACCAAGTGAAGGTGTCTGGGTGCCAGGATAGCACCTGATACCTCCATCTTCTGGAGGTGCATACCTGGGTATCATTGGATCTGGACTGTTTTCACACACTAATATCCTATCCTTTGGAATTCTATCAGTTATATTCTATCTGCACGATTGGAATGAATTTCTGGAACCAAAATGCTTTTTCTGTGCAGCCTGAGCAGGAACAGTGAAAACCTTATAGTTAGTAGTTGTAGCTTGTCTTCACTTACCCCACCCCACTGCCCTGCTCACAGATGTGAATAATATTCTTACGTTATGAATGATCCTTTTCACCATTAAGAAAGATTGGTAGGAATAAGCCAGTATCTTTGTGGACTGTGCCTGGATAATGTGACTTTTCTGTAAGTTCTCAAAGTTCTTAACCTAGCTCAAGGTAGTCCTCTGAATGTTTAACTGAGAATCAATCACAGTCAGTCCATCATTTGAAAAATAAGACTTTAGAACTGTCTTACCCCCAAAATGGCAACTATTCCATTTTGGTGACTGTAACCTTGGTTTAAAGAGCCATTTGGTGCCTAACTTACATATCTGAGCTTCTAACACTGTTCCTGACTCAAAAGCACTGTCTTGGGCAACGCTAATTCCGCTCTAGCTCCCTTGTGATGCATCTCCTGTAAAGCAACATTCGTGACGCACCCATCATCGGGAAGGATTAGAGGCAAAGGGGGTTGGTTGCAGGCTTCTGAAGGGGTTAGCTAATCCATATTAAGTGGATTTGAGTTTGCACGCTTGGTCTTAATTGCACGGATGGTGAATCAAATCCATTGTTGGTGATCATTACAGAAGCAAGTGGTGGTTTATTTTGGATTAATCCAACAGGCAACGGGCCTTCAGATTTAAGTGACTTAAATTGGGAAGAATTATGGAGGGCAGAAACCTAGTGGATTCCTCTACCTTCAAAAGTTGCAGTGTGGAACTTCCATAAATATGGCCTCCCTCTCTGAATTCCCCCCTTTGCAACTTTTAAAGAGATTGCAGGAGTCCACTTGTGCTGGAGTTGGGAAACGGCTTACCATGGATTCAAAGGAATCATGAAGGAAATTGCAAAATGTTGCAGCGTGGACTGCTCCTCTTCAGGGTTCCAGCGAGCCATTCCTTTCCCCAGGATACTCCATTCCATTCTGCAGTCCCCTAGCATCCTGTTTTCTGTCCTCCCTGCTGCAGCAAACCCTCAGCATTCCATGACCCACTGAGCATGCTCAATTATCATTTGGTTTCTCCCCAGCCCCTGGCTGCTTTCCCCCAATAACTTTTAAACTACTCCTTGGAATTCCCCCAAACCTGCTGATGCTTCCCTCTTATATGTGGATGGGGCCGTTTTGGTTGCATACAGACCAGCACCCTGAGAGCTCAGATCACTATTACTATGTACTTAGGTCCTGGTTTCCTTCTGATAAGTGCTGCTGTGGCCAAATGTATTGCTGTTTTCCACTGGAGTGACTGGATGCAAAGGAAGACAGAGCTCTTGTACTTTTCATACACGGCAATC